CACAAACCAAAAGACAATAAATTGGGTTCCACTTATTTGTGTGTTTGTTGTCTGAAATAGATTGTATCAAGACAACGTGGCCGAGTGGTCCAAGGCGTATGACTCGAAATCATTTCTCATTTGAGGCGTAGGTTCAAATCCTGCCGTTGTCGTTTTTATTTTTTGGATTTTTTACAATTAAAAATTTAATGGTATATACTATCGAAATAAAAATGCATTTGCCGGGACTCGAACCCGGATCTCCACCTTGGAAGGGTGGAATTCTGCCCTTAGACCACAAATGCTACTTAATAAAATTAGTAAAAATATAAAGTATTATCATTCATCATTAGTTTTATTTTGTAACACATTAATAAAAATTCACTCTATTGTGTTTATTTACATACGAAATACATAAAATACATTTTAATTTACACTTAAAAAGTGCTTTAATGTCTTTACAAACTTTGTACACAAAAAACACAATTTGCCAATGTTTTTTTTGTATAGTTTTAAAAAGTTGGATGAAGTAAATCATAATAAATTAAAATATAATATTTAATTCTATTCAATTCTATTCCACTTATAAATATTGAAGTAATTAATTAACAAAATATCATCAATATATGTTCTTCTTTTATACAAGTTGTTCTAGTCTTGAATAAGTGACAGCAATTTTTGTAAACTAAAAAAACAATGTGGAAATATGCAGTGACGGGTTTATTTATTTTGTTCAACTCTTTTATAATAGTAACTCAAATAGACCTCCAGGATATAATATACAACACGTTCTTTTATAAAGGAAACAACAATTCGAATATAATTCAAATAAAAAGTCTTAGGCAACAACGACTTAAAAGAAACGCACCATTTAGAAACATTGAAGAAATTACAAAGATGTCGAAAGAATTAAACACATATTCTTATATGATTCTTCATAACAACTCAGTTATCAGTGAACACTATTTTAAATCCTATATTGACGACTCTAAACTAGAATCGTTTTCAATAACAAAAAGTATTGTTTCCTTAATGGTGGGTATTGCACTTGACAAAAAGTATTTGTCTTCAATAGAAGATAAAATTGGAAAGTATTTTCCTGAATGTACAATGTCGAACACCTCAATCAAAAACTTGTTGGAGATGTCAAGTGGTGTTAAATTATACTCTTTAAGTGGGTTCTTTACTTCACTGGTTGATTTTTATTCTTCAAATTTGACAAAAAGAGCTTTTAGTAGAAAACCTGTCTTTGAGAGTGGCAAGTATTGGGTGTACGATAACATTAATACTCAACTGATAGTTTTAGTATTAGAGAAAGCAACTAAAATGAAAATAAACGTATTTGTTGAGAATTATTTGTGGAAATACATTTCCACCACAGAAGCTCAATGGTCAACAGACGACTCTGGGAATGTAAAGGCGTTTTGTGGATTACAAATGACGTCAGAAGATTTGTTACGAATAGGAAAGTTGATTATGGATAAAGGTAAGGTTAATGGATATCAAGTAGTTTCTGAGAGTTACTTACAGATGATATTCAATGTCAACACAAATCTTTGTATTCTCAGTGACATAAAACAACACAACAAAAATTATGGATTACACGCTTGGAAATCTAAGATCAACGATACAACAATAAAGTATTTCTTTGGTTCTGGTGGTCAGTTTTTGTTATTAATAGAAGAATGGAATACAGTTGTCGTCCATATGGGGTTCGATGTGTTAATAAGTGGACCAGATGATATCGATCATATTCTTCAAAAAGTTGTCGAAGTGACACATAAGACTCTTTTGGATTAACAACTCAT